GAAGTGCCTACAAACTGATAGTTTAATAATTTGCTCCAGTAGCATCCCAAGTTTTTACGTTAGCCAAACTGCTCTAATTCCCCAGGTCCTCTGTTCTCCGTGGCTGGCATGATTTTGCAGAAATACTCTTAACGGAAAAGTTTTTCCGTTAAAAGTATTTCCGCAAAAGAGCGTCTAGATTGGCACGGATGCTTTTGCGCGAAGTGCCTACAAACTGATAGTTTAATAATTTGCTCCAGTAGCATCCCAAGTTTTTACGTTAGCCAAACTGCTCTAATTCCCCAGGTCCTCTGTTCTCCGTGGCTGGCATGATTTTGCAGAAATACTCTTAACGGAAAAGTTTTTCCGTTAAAAGTATTTCCGCAAAAGAGCGTCTAGATTGGCACGGATGCTTTTGCGCAAAAAGTGCTTTTACGCAAAAGCTTCTGTGCCCAGTAGAGACGCGCTTTTGCACAAGAAAGCTCTGATGGCCATTTTAGCCATCGGGCTTTCTTGTGCAAAAAATTAAGGTGCCTGTCTACACTGGCCCTCTTGCAAGAGGGCTTATCCCTGAGCAGGAGAGTCAAAGTATTTGTGCAAGAAGCACTACATTCTTACATTAGAACGTCAGTGCTCTTGCACAAATTCAAGCAGCCAGTGTTTGTAATTCGTAAGAGCATAATAAGTTACAAGCCTGATTATGTGCAATTATTTCAAGTTGATCCAAACTCTCTCAACAAGATCCAGTCTTTTACCAGGCAATTGATTCCAGGTTTATGAGTCAAAAGGCCTAAACCTCTTGGAAGAGTCTGGCTACATCTACACTGCCCTCTCTTGTGCAAGAAAATATGCAAATGAGGCAAAGTGGTGAATATCACCATGCCTCATTTGCATACAATGAGCCACAATTTTGTGCAAGGGCTTTTGCGCGAAAAGCCCCTCTTGTGCAAGGGCTGTAGTTCCTGAATGGCTCTTCGCAAGAGGGGGTTTTTGCATAAAAAGGAGCCGTGTAGACTCCTTTTGGAAAACCTATTAAAGATTCATGGATAGATCGAAGAAAAAAAATATAAAAAAAGTATTGTGACACATGCACCATTAAAACATTTTCCTTAGTGGTGTATTGTGTAATGCATTTTTAATTAATTTTGCTCTTAGGCTCAACCCATCAAGATAGTTGTAGGGTACCTGTCACCTTGGTGTCTGTACCTTTAGAATTATTTTAGTCTGTGCTTCTGTTCCAGCTTTAATCATATCCTTCTTTATATGTGAAAGGATATGTACACCATGACATTAAAATCAAGGCAGCCAACAAGGCAACTTAACTGGGCCAGAAGGGAAAAGTTAAAGCATATCCACTAACATGAGAACATTTATTGAGTGACTATAAGAACTTGAGCCATCTATTTGTATAGAATGTATAGATTTATACCGTACAGTCCTTAGGATTTCATTGATAACTTTGCAAATATGAACTGAATGGAAATCAATGCAGTATCTCTTCCTGATTTTGCCAACAACTCCAGTAGCTCTGCTGCTGCTCCAGCTTCTCCCAAGTAGTAGGAAAGTGAAAATCAGCAACACTCCAAATATGCAATAGAAAAATAATCAAGAATCAGGTCAAGTTCATGCTGCTTGTGAAAGCTACAGGTGGGAGCAGACTAGGGATGTTAACTAACGATTAATTTACTAGTTGAGTAGTAGATGGGGCTTTTGCACATTTCAAAGGAGGAATGCAGAATTCCTCATGTAGCCTGGGACCAGCGGGAAGTCCCGCTGACTCCGGGCTGCATGCAGGTGCCAGCTTTGAAATGGACAAGAGCCCCCAGTAGGGGCTCTTACGCATTTCGAAGAGGAAGTGCCAGCATGGAGCTCAGGGTTAGCAGGGGACTCAAGAGTGCCCCTCTAACTCCGGGCCCCATGTTGCGCTGCTGCTTTGAAATGCCACGCGGAGCCTGGGGTCAGCCACGGACTCCGCGCAGCATTTCCACAGAACCCAGGATCAGCTGGGGATTCCCGCACAGCATTTCCCCAGACGACCCTGGGCTCCATGCAGCACTGCCCCTCTGAAACACCACCTCTGCATTTCAAAGCAGCAGCGCCGCACAGCTGATCCTGGGATCAGCTATGCAGCACTGCCCCTTTGAAGTACCTCTTCTCCCCCCCCTTTGCTGCCTCTAATAGAGGCAGCAAGGCCGGGGGGTAGGGGGGAATTGACTAGTCCATAACACCCTTAGTGCAGACATGAACACTAAGGTTATGCCCAGAGAAGCTCTCAATCCCTCCACTCCATTATACCACCCAACATATTTTTCTTCCATCTCTCCTTAGCAAGCAGGAGACTGGGGAGGGTAGAGTAGCAAAGACCAGTCCCCTTTACAGCAGCCCAAATATTCTGCAAGAGGGCAATACACAGCAGCCAGACAGTTCCAGAGGGAAAATGAACAGAATGCGTCTTCCCGCTTCCAGCAGCTAAGGCCAGAGTGGGCAAACTACAGACCGCATATAGGCCATCGGGGCTTTTAATGCAATCGTGGGATTACCAGTCCAGTGGCACAGTCTAGGGCTGAAAGTAGCCCTGTACTGCTCCTGGAAGTGGCCAGCAGGACCCTAGAGGTGAGCAGGGGTAGTCTCCACGTGCTGCCTCTGCTCCAGGCACTAACCCACATAGCTCCCATTGGCCAGAAACAGGGAACCAGGGAGCTGTGAACGCAGTGCCTGTGAATGGAGCTACCTGACCTCACCCACAACTAGGAACTGCTGTTGGACATGCTGAGCACTTCCAGGAGCTACGTGGAGCCAGGGAACCTACCTTAACCCCTCCGCACTGTCACACCAGAACTATCCAACGTAAGCAGCATGAGGCCAGAGCCCACACCCCTCCCCCATCCAAACCCCGTGCCCCAGCCCTATTTCATGGCCCACCACGCAATTTACCTACCCAGATGTGGCCCTTGGCCTATAAGCTGCGCACCTGTACAGCTATTCAGGAGTTTCCAAAGCCCCGTGGCTGATTAGCACATCACTCACAGCTAGGGTTTTTTCATACTGGTGATGCACATTCATACCTTGGCTTGGTGTACATAAAAAATATTCTGCACGTTGATGGAAAAGTTTAGAGGGAACATAGGCCCTCAGGCCAAAAATCTTGCCTATCCTCCAACTACAGGGTGGTAGAACTTCTAGGTTTTTTTTGCATACCTAAAAATCAGAAGTTGGTGCAATAGGTGGCAACACCATAGCAGGTTCAAGGATAAAAACTTGCTAGAAATCCCAGCACTGTACTCACTTCTCCACAACTGAGGACTGCAGGCTCTTAAGGTGTTACCCCTAGACCTCTGTAGCTCCTCCTGTCTTAGCTCTTTAGCTGGTCAGTTGTCCATCTAATAAACTGTTCAGCGTAATTTTCTATCAGTTGTTTATAAGTACCAGTCAGATGTACCTCCAAATATTTGTCTAGTTATTGCCAGAGTTGGATGGCAATAAACTGCTGAAAATGATTGTTCAAAATCTAATTAAATGGCAACCTAAGCTTGGTGGCACAAGTTAATTTACAAGCATAACAAAAGTGTTACTATGATACAAGTCATTCCATTAAATAATCTTAATGTAAATAGAAAGAAAACTTATGGAAAACATTTTTCCATTTAGATATTAAATTGTGCGTCTTTTTAAGTATATCAAGATTAAAGTGGCAACTGCAACTCTGAAAGAGGACACAAAAAGCATCCAAGCACTGGTGTTTGCCGATTACTTTTCTATAGTCAACACCAGCCAGTTGTGTCTCCTCTTTGGGAAAAAAAACAAGACTTCTTGACCCTTCGTCTTTAAAACTGAAGTTCACACTCAACTGGTAGAAAAGTTTTTCTTCAAAAGAAAGTACTAAATTTCTGTGTTTCCTCTAATGTCAAGCCAAGGTTTCTGAAAGATGTGTGATAAGCCTGGATGACAAAGCATTCCGGACTACCTTCATTAAGCAAGAGATATTCCTGCAGCCAGATGAAGAGTTGAAGCGATAAAGCCTTCTACATTGTTGTTCTGATAACGTTTTGAAAAAAGTACTGCTTCCTATAATTAAGCTGTCATGTTGCAGTCTACTGAGATAAATACAAGTGCCAAAATGTTTGAATGACCATAAACAAATTCAATATAAGTGTTCATTGCCAAAGTTTTACTAGCTTTTCTTCCATTAGACAATTTTTCTGGATGGCTATAATCCAACCAATCACTAGCCAAATGGTGTGTACTCTCAGAACGATTCTCGTTACAATGGATATTGATTTAGAGACTAAATTTCTGCTGTATGTTCTCCAGCTTATTTTAATTTATAAAAACAAGCAAAATCATCAGTATTATCTCCCAGAACAAATCCCACCTGTAAATGTTCCACTAATTAAAAATTACAAAGCTGACTTGAAATACTACACAGCTACCATATGCCTTTGTACAAATAATTATACTTGGAGCCAATAGGAGTTTGGCAGATATTACTTACCAAAATAGATTTTACGTAGAAACTTACAGGTAGAAGAGTGTGTTCTCATTAATTTCCTATTTAAGGACAAACTACTTCAAAGTTTGTCCAATAAGCATAATTAACACATTTATACTGATTTACCCTCTGACAAAGTCACACTGAAAGAAAACAAGCTTTTGTAAGTTATGTATAAAAATAATTTATTGTCTAACTATAAAAACAAGGATTTATTCTTGGTCTTAATTAAGCATTCACTAACATGTGATCTTCTCTTACGAATAAAAGGCAGTACTTCATAAGTGAGTTATGAGGAAGACCTCCTGGCTTATGATACCAACAGCACACATTTTGCAGTTGAAACACCTTTAAATAAATACCGGCTTCATTTATTGTAGTGGACGATTAAATATTTAATGTTTCTATTCATTTACAGCTGTCCGGTTTGACAAATTTCATGCACTTATGGTATTATAATGTGCACCACCCTTTCCTTGTCTTTCAGGCTTCTTCCCTGTGGTAAGTTTGAGTGTGTGAAATCTGCACTCCCCTTGAAGCATTTGTGAATTCTGCTGGAACCAGGGATGTAAGTACCCATTATAAAAGTCAGCTGCAGTAAGCTTCTTCTTGAAGACGACAGTTTTGACTCCGACCCAGTCTCCCTAGAAAGGAAGATAAAGATGCAGACACTAAGTCTCTCCTAAACTGTTCTAAAACCTAACATACCCACTACCTTTAAGATTATAGAACACTGAAGCAGTTTGGGATTTTCTTTATGGTCTATATTTGAGTCTAATTCTCATGTGTAAATTAAAATCCAGTGATCAGGCAATGGAAAGAACTCAGTATACCATATAAGATATTGCACAGATGTGCCAGATTAGACACAGGCATATAGTTAGGGTGCAGATATTAAACAACAAACAGAGGTAGCACTCTAAAAGTCATCTTCAGGACCTTGACTATAAAACAAAGACAGAAACATACCTTGCAACGAATGACCAATGTCTGTGACAATTTATGGTACAATACTGATCCTGGAACAATTCCACGTTCATTTAATAATTTATCTGCAAACAAATAAGGAGCTTTTGCATTTTCATGTTACTGAATAAGTAAAAAAAAAATATTACGCTTATTTTTATACCTGCCTCTGGAACTGGACAGTTATCTAGAAATATCAATTTGCACCAAAAAATCATTATTTATGATATAGAGCAGAGTTGAGCAAGTCAGCATAAGGGGTGAAAGCATCCCCTACATAGCCGAAGATCTCTAGCATGACTCCTGACTTCTTAGATAATAAGAAAAACTTAACAAAAACAAAACACCCAAGTAATCCTGTAGCACCTTACAGACTAACAAAACTATTTATATAGTATCATGAGCTTTTGTGGGAAAAAAACCCATCTCCTCATGCGAGAGTGGAGGAAGAAAAGAAATAAAAATAACTAAGTCACTCTTGCTTCAGGTTAAGCTCTTTACGTCCTGCCCTACCTTGAGTGGAGATGGAGAACAACTGACCATCATGCTCTTTATAACAGCCCTTAATGTATTTGAGGCAGTTAACCAGTCCCATCCAGTTGTCCTTCTCTGTCTCCCCCACCTTTCTTTTCTCAAGACTAAACATACCCAGATTTAACTGTTCCTCATAAGTCAGGTGGTCTAAACCTTCACATATTTTGGCTACTCTCCTCTGAACTCACTTTCTCTCCTATTTATCCTAAATTGTGGCGCACACAATTGGGCACAAAACTCCAGCTGACGCTCATCAGTGCCATGTAAAGAGGAACAATTAAATCAAATGCCTTAAACACGACCCTCCTCTTAATACACCTCAGAATGACATTAGCTTTTTTGTAACCGCATCATAGTGTTGGCTCATAAATCAGCTTGGAATCCACTGTAAGCCCCACGTCCTTTTTAGCAGTGATACTGTCCAGGCAGTTATTTTGTATTGATGCATTGGATTTCTCCTTCCAAAAAGATGGCACGCTACATTTGTCGTTACTGACTTCCATCCCAATGAATTTGGACCAATGCTCCAGTCTGTCAAGACCATTTTCTGTTCTAATCCTCAGGGCTTGACAAACCACAGCGAGATCCACTCGCCAGACTGGCACTGCGCATGCGCAAAGCCCTGGTGAATGGGGTGCTCAGAGCGACCGGCTGAAATCTACTTGCCACGGGCAAGTAGATTCAGTGGTTTGTTGAGCCCTGCTAATCCTGTCCGTCAAAGTGCTTGCAAACCTTCCCATCACCACCATCTTGGTGTCATCTGCAAATTTTATACGCACACACTTCATCACATTATTAGAGTCATTAATGAAAATACATTGGGAGTAATTTGTAAGTTTCTACATACTTAGATTAGACTGTTTAGTCTTGTTTCATGCCACTAGACTCCTAATTAATCTCTTTCATCACGTAACTGTTGCCTAGAACAGCTTCACGTTCATTTCCAATTAAATTAAATCACTTTCAGAGTTTGGGTAAATTGTGTGAAAAAGAATGTTAACAAATTAAAGTAAAGTAAATACCAGCAAAGCCATGGATGTTATGCACTTCCACAAAATCCAGAAGTTTAATGGTATTTCCCATCCACTGGGTCTGCAATGGAATCTGGAAGTACATATAAGGAGATATGACAAACCAAGAACATTATTACAGGAGTCTCAGTCAGCTGCTTAGTTTTTTCATGTAAGAAGTGCGGTAAACAGCACTAAGGCAAAGAACATAAGAACGGCCGTACTGGGACAGACCAAAGGTCCATCTAGCCAAGTAGACTGTCTGCCGACAGTGGCCAGCGCCAAGTTGGCGGACTTAGGTTTAGGGACTATTCCTGGAAAGGTGGACTGTTTACATGTCATAATATATATAAGCAATTGTTCTTCTCATACTCCTTCCTCTCAAAACTTTTTTACAACCACATTAGCTACACATTAACAAAAAGTTATTTTTGTAGCTCTAACTGCAAGTGATCAATTAGCTAACTCTACCTAAATAGCTTCACAGGGGTATCCAAGTTAGTCTGTAAATGGAAGAACTTAAAACACAACAAATAGACTTGCAGCACCTTAAAGACTAACAAAACGTATAGATGGTATCATGAACTTTTGTGGGCATAACCCTAACCACATCAGAGGCTCATTTAACTGCACATCACTAATGCGATCTATGCCATCAAATGCCAGCAATGCCCCTCTGCCAGTTATATATGGGCCAAACTGGACAGTCTCCATGGGAAAGATTTATTGGATGCAAATCAGATATCCCAAAAGGTAACACACAAACCTGCTGAGAACATTTTAACTTGCCCAGACACTCATTCATGGATCTCTAAGTCACGTACTGTTTCAGGCCCATTTCAAAAGCCAAATACACAGGGAAGCCTTGGAACTTAATTTAATTTACAGGTTTGATTCCTATCACAAAGTTCTGAATAAAAACATTGACTGGATGGCCCAATACATTCTACATCCTAATGACATAAAAAAACAACCAATGGGTACTTAAGACAAATCTGCAACTTCTCTATCAGCTTCATGTAGCATGGAGTCTCTGACAATTTCTTTCCCTTCCCCAGCCCCCTTTTCTCCACTGCCCCATGCCCTATTTATTTCAAAACTGGACTTTTAACTCCATTCATCTGAAGAAGTGGGTTATGCCCATGACAGCTCATGATACCATCTACATGTTTTGCTAGTCTTGCAGCACCTTAAAGACTACAGACAGTCCCCGGGTTACATACAAGATAGGGACTGTAGGTTTGTTCTTAAGTTGAATCTGTATGTAAGTCAGAACTGGCATCCAGATTCAGCCGCTGCTGAAACTGATCAGCGGCAGATTCCAGGTAGCCTGGGGCAGAGCAACTCTGCCTCGGGCTTCCTGTAGTCAGCCGCTGGGCAGTTTCAGCAGCGGCTGAATCGGGGACACCTGGCGTAAAATATGTACCAGTTCCGACTTACATACAAATTCGACTTAAGAACAAACCTACAGTCCCTATCTTGTACGTAACCCGGGGACTGCCTGTATAACATGGATTTTTATATTTGGCTGTTGTTTTAAAAATCTGATGGCTCGTTACAATTCTTTATATAACATTGACTCTAGGAAAGAAGACGGAAGCAGCAGCACTGCTGGAAGTTGAAACTCCTCTCTGTGTTTGTGCAATGGCCTGTGTTTTGAAACCTTTTGGACACCTGGGGCAGAGCAGCTGGGGTGCTGCCGGGTTGGTCCAGTAGCACCAAGGAGCGGTGCTGCGGGACCAACCGGCAGCGCCCCCCCTGCTCTACCACAGGCCCCGGGCTTTGCTCCACGTCTCCCTGGTCTGCCGTAATTCGGATCCGCGTAACTCGGGGACTGCCTGTATTTGTTGTTTTTTAAGTTTTTCTATCTAAATGCACGTGTATAGAGGACTCAAACTCCATATGAAATTTAATTTAACGTTTCACAAACAAGAAGTTAGTGCACACAAACCTGGTATGTTTACAGTTAATATTGGAAGAATATGTTTGCATCCTTTAAGACAGTTAACTATAACCTTACACAATACTTCAGAGAGTACATTCATTCAGAGGAATAATGCTATATCTGTGAAGTACCAAAGATATTACCCCTATTATTTTATGACAGGGAAATTGAATCAGAGAGGTTAAATAATGTGGCAAAGACATAGTGAGCTAGCAGAGCTAGAATTTGTGGATCCATGCCCTATCCTCATGCCACTTGACTGACCTGCCTCTCTAAAAAGAACTACACGCTCAACTGAGGCAAGATTTCCCTTAAAGGAAAGCTTGCAAAAAAATTATTACTATTTTGTCTTACGGTGGCTCCTATGGCACGTTGTAGTCGTAATATCTGCTCAGGAGTTTGCTCTTCCCATTTTATACAGCTCATACCAATGGTGACTTTAGGAGCTAGAAAAAAAAGCAAAGCAAAAAATCTTATTTTTTACTTTGTATTTACAATTGAACAGTTTAAAGTGTAATTTGTAAAGCCATTAAAAACATTTAAGTCTGTCGTCTTGATGCACCAATTAGCACCAGAAGATAAAATAAGTTAATCATGGAGGTTAGGTCCATAAAAGGCTATTAGCCAGGGGATAAAATGGTGTCCTTGGCCTCTGTTTGTCAGAGGCTGGAGAGGGATGGCAGGAGACAAATCGCTTGATCATTGTCTTCGGTCAACCCTCTCTGGGGTACCTGGTGCTGGCCACTGTCGGTAGACAGGATACTGGGCTAGATGGACCTTTGGTCTGACCCAGTACGGCCGTTCTTATGTTCTTATGTTATCTAAACTTAAGCCTAAAAGTTCATGTTCTGGTTATGCAAACAGGAACAGCATGAAACTAAATAGAATCTTATGACGTAGTCTTTCCTTTAGTAGTTGCTGCCAGAAACTTGCTACTGCTGAATTTCAAAGAAAGATTCTGCAGTATTCTACCCCCAAGAGATAATAATCCTTAACCAATATAGAAGTTTTCTGTTGATTGTAAGAGATGTGGATGCAGCCCTAAATTAGAGTCAACATGCACAAGAGTGCTCATCCCACGCCCCCAAACTCCGTGTACGAGCACAGGAACTGAATTCTATAAAAAGAAAAATAAAGACAAAACATACAATTAGCATTAAATATTCAGTACCTACCAAATGTTACTCCTTCATTTGGCTGCTCTCTCTTGTTTTTTAAACATTCAGGTAAGTTTTTCAATACTGAAACAAGCTGCAAAAGAAAAAAATATTATAAAAAATATTAAAGAGCACATGAGCATTATATTAAATATATTTCCAGTAGTATTCCTCCAAGACTTACAAAGCATACACATTTTGATCAGTCTGAATATCTCAAAGCTCAAAAGAAACTAATTTCACTGAACTCAGAACACCTAATTATGTTATAAAGGATTTTTTTCCAGTTAAAATGAAATTCCTCAGCCTCCTTCTGGCAGCGAGCCCGCTACAGTCACCTTATTCTTGGACCTGGATGGAAACTGATATAAAATCAAGTGAAAAAGCTGCCATTGACTACAGTGGCAGCAGTGTCAACCTGAATATTCAGACAATGTGTTTTAAAAGTAGGGATGTAAAATTTCAATTATGTGGCTAATCTAATAGTTGATGCAAATTTCATTGACTATTCGATTAGTCAATAAGGGCGTTTTTGCCTTTAAAGTGTAGCAACAGCCTTGTTGCTACACTTCAAAGGTGAAAACGCTGCAGGGAGCATGGGGCCAGCCGGGGACTGCTTGAGTCTCCAGCTGACCCCAGGCTCCGTGTGGTGCTACTGCTTTGAAACACCGCAGGGAGCCCAGCATCAGGTTCTACACGGTGTTTCAAAGCGGCAGCGCCACATGGGGCCCAGCGCCAGCGTGACCCCGGGCTCCATGCGGCACCGTCACTTTGAAACACTGTGCAGCACGGACCATCTGGGGACTCCCCCAGGGTCTGCCACTTTGAAGCAACCCTCTTCTTTCCCCCAGTTGCTGGCTATTTCTGATAGGCTATGTCTAGACTGCAAGCCTCTTTCAAAAAAGAGCATCTACACTACAACCAGTACTTCAGAAAAAGCAAGCCGCTTTACCGAAAGAGAGCACCCAGGCAGTATGGATGCTCTTTCGAAAAAGCACAGTTTGCATTACATAGCGTCTTTTTTCGAAAGAGCACTTTTGAAAAAAGGCGTTAGTGCTCAGAAAACGAGGTTTTCTGCGGTCGAAAACACTGCAGCATTCTTTCAATTTACTTTCCAAAGAACGTGGCAGCAGTCTAGATCCAGGGGAAGGTTTTTGTTTTTTTTTGTTTTTTTAAAAGCCACTTTTTTTGAAAGAGCCCTGTAGTCTAGACACACCCATAGAGGCAGCAGGTAGAGGGGAAGCAACTAGCTAACAAGCATTTGCTTATCAGGATGGGTGGGGTAGGGAGGGGGGAGAAAAGAAGAAAAAAAAAGGGGAAAATGTCAGAGCGTTCATGCTAAATGAAGCTGATAAGAATACTTAGTATCCACTTTAAGTATCCTTTGTTTTTCTTATGTCATTAGAATGTGGAATTTAGCGGGCCATCCACTCAATGTCTTTGTTTAGACTTCTGTTGTAGGATTCAAACTTGTAAATGAAATTAAGTTCTGTAGCTTCCCTGTCAAGCTGGCTTTTGAAATTGGTTTGAAATAATACAGTGACTTTGAAATCCATTAATGAGGGCCCGTGCAAGTTCAGATGTTCTCCAACAAGTTTCTATGTGTTGCTTTGTTGGATATCTGATTTGTGTCCATTAAATCTCTCTTGTAGAAACTGTCCAGCTTGGCTAATATACACGGCAGAGGGGCACACTCCACATCCTAATGACATAAAAATCCAAAGGGTACTTAAAGTGGGTACTAAGTATTCTTATCAGCTTCATTTAGCATGGACACCAATTGGCAATTTCTTTCCCCTTTTTCCTCATCTTTCTTCCCTCTCTCCTCCCCCCCCCCCCGTGCTATTTATTTGAAAACTAGACTCCTTAACTCCATTCACCTGCAGAAGTGGGTTGTGCCCATGAAAGCTCATGATACCATCTACAGTTTTTGTTAGTCTCTAAGGTGCTGCATGACCATTTGTTCTTTTTAAAGTTTTTCCAGCTAAATCATGCTAGCATTAAAAGCAGTTAGGTTTGTGTTAGGGCTGTAATAGTATAACCATTTAAATGGTTAACCAGTAAGCATAGCTTATCGATTACTGTAATGGTTACACGCCAGCTCCCACCCCCACTCCTGCTGCTGGCTCTGTAGTCCGCTCTCCAGGAGCAGAGTGGCAGGCAGGAGCCAGTGCGTGCCAGCTCTGCAGACCCCACGGTGTGTAACCACTACGATTTTCAGCAGTTACACGGTTACCTAATGAACCACTTTTTAACATCCTTAGTTTGTGTGTATTGCAAGGATATACTCCTTTGTTTTCTAATGTACTTACAAATAGTACATAACAAGGAATGCTTCTCAGAATGGCAACTTTGAGATCAATGCAGTGAATAAGGTGAGCAGTTACTAGCATAGGTTTACCATGTTCGCACCCAATTTTGATAATATTGCTTCTAGTTCTTTTGCTGTGCACTGGGAAGGAACGGCAAACTTTTCCTGCTTAATAATTGGGCCTACATCAAACCTAAAATAAAAACAGAACAGATATCTATTAGCTTCTTCCTCCAGTGACCTTGACTTCATTGATTCAGTGTACAATTTAGCACAGGGGTGGGCAACAATTTTAGAATAGAGGGTCCACTTCAAAAAATTTTTGAGGCCCAAGGCCACTCCAGAACGGGCGGGACCTCAGGAAGAAGGGGCAGGGCCATGACACATCTGTGCCCTCCACCCACAGACCCTAATTGGCCGGGGGGTGGTGGGAGCCCATGAAGAATTTGGCCCTGCCCCTCTTCCCCAAGAGAACTGCCAACTGTTCTGAACAGCTGGAGGTTCCTTCTAGGCAGCTACGCCTTGTCGCCGGAGGAGTTTTCATGCACTTTCTCCACCCCCAGGTCAAACAGGGCCTGGGTGCGGGGGAGTGCATGAAGTCTCTTGCCTCCCTGCCCCTGCCCTACAAGAGGCATGCAACACCTAGAGTGAACTGCCAGCTGTTTAGCTGGCAGATCACTCTAAGCACCACACGCCCCTGATTGGCCATGGGGCAGAGGAGCAACAGGACACCTGTGGGTTGGATTAATTTGCTTGGTGGGCAGGATGTGGCCAGTGGAAGTCCTCTCACCCACCCCTGATTTAGCATAAGGCCTTTATATTAACTCAGTCACCTGCTACTGCAAACAGAAAGAAAGAAAAAGAAAATTTTAACACTGGGTTCAGAATAAAGGGGTTAAACTTCAGTAATTGGCTAATCAAATAGTTGATGCAATTTGCATCAACTACTTGATTAGCTGACAGCCCACCTCCGCCCTACCATCAGGCTCCACACAGCGTTTCAAAGCGGCAGCACCGCACAAAGCCCAGGGTCAGCGGGGGATTCCCCAGCTGATCCTGGGCTCCACACAGCACTGTCGCTTTGAAAAGCCACATGCAGCCTGGGGGCACCCCAGCCTGCACATGGTGTTTCCAAGTGGCAGTGCCTTCTGGAGCAAGGGGCAGGGGAAGCGACTATTCGACACGACTATCCGATAAGCATTTGCTTATCGGATAGTAGACTAGTCGTACACACCCCTAGTTCAGAAGACAACATTACTGAAACAAGAAGGACTGGATTACATAGCAAAGCTAAAATAGGCCCAAGTATATGACTTAGCACAGGTGTGGACAAAATCAGGCCCACCCAAGCATTTCGCTCCGGCCCGCCAGGCTGATTGGCAGAGTAGGCATACTTCTAGCCAGCAGCCTATGTTCAGCTACCCCCACCCCCTCCACTTTGCTCCATCCTGAAACCCAGCTGCTCCCAGGATTCTCCTGCCAGCTGTGCAGTGGGGAGGAAAGTGCTGAATTCAGAGCATTTCTGTGCCCCTGTACCACATCTTTGCAGAACAGGGGTTGGGGAGAGAGACACACAGCAGAGCTGCTCCACTCCGAGGGTGTGTCTAGACTACAGGGTTTTGTCGACAAAAGTCCCCTGCCACTGAGTTCTGTCAACATAACATCGACAGAACTCAGCAGTTTTGTCGACAGCTGTAAACCTCATTCTACGAGGAATGACGCCTTTTGTCGACAGAGTTCTGTCGACAGAAGACGTTATTGCATCTACGCTGTCCATTCATCTACACGGTCATGTCGACAAAGTGGCTTGCTCTGTCGACAGAACTGGATGTAGTCTAGATGCTCTGTCGACAGAAGCTTTGTCGACAGTATCTGTCAACAAAACTTCTGTCGACAAAAGTCTGTAGTCTAGACGTACCCTGAAGGATTCATGGTAAGTGAAGATGGGCACTTCTGTGCATAAGAGGCAGAGCACTATGTTTATGGCTAGGTCTACACTGCAATATTATCTCGGAAAAAGAAACGCGCTTTGCCATACGCAAATTGAGTATCTTTCTGATTTACTTTCAAAAGAGGCTCTTTTGAAAATTGGCACATCTGTACGGTGCCAAATGTCAAAAGGAAGAACTCTTTCAACACATCCCTTATTCCTCGTAGAACAAGGTTTACAGGGATGGTAAAAAGCATATCCACTTTTTCAAAAAAGCGGATGAATTCCTTGGATACGGCATTATTCTTCCGGGATACCTCTGGTATCCCAAAAAAAAGCAATGCATAGCGCTCCTCCCCCCCCCACACACACAGTCTCTCACTCACACGCTCTCTCCTTCTATAGTCCCACCCTCACCCCTGCCTCTTCCTGGGGCAGAGCCAGCCCATGTACCAAAATTAATGAAGTGGCCCCTGTGAAAAAATTATTGTCCACCATGACTTAGCACTTATTCACCTTGAAAATTTCAGGCTTTCATGCATTGAGGTACGTTAGCCAACAGAAGTATGACAGGAATAACAGTCCTGTAGTATAGCTAAAAGATGGACAGGTCCACAGTAAAGGGACACAGCGTGCACCTTTGAATGGACTCAGTACACTATGCCACTTCATTTGATGTTCAGTTTCAGAAATGTGTCTGCAGAATCTGGGAGTATTCCATATAACATCTAGAGAAGCAGATTATCAGAGGACAGAAGTAATTTACCAGTTTCACTGCACAGTTGACTTAAGATCAGTAGTCCTGCAGATCTAGTGCTACGTTTAACTTGTACAGCACAAAGTACTCAGACAGTTGTGATAGGGTGGTTCTGGTGGAAAAATAATTTGTCCACTCTCAAGCTGTATACAAGAGTCACAGCAGTTCAGGTAAAACGTTCAAGTATTTAATATTAAAACATCTGTGTTTGTGCATATATTTATTTTAAATGAAAGTTAACATCAGTATTATAACTTAAAAACAATGACTATTCCACACAAGAGGAAGTTAATATTTATGAAAGACAGACATTGCAGTGATTGAATCTTTTTAAAAAATGATGTTCGCAGTACCTTTTAGGCTTAATTTGCATAATTGTCACCCCAGTTACTGTATCACCGTGAAGCACTGTGTGGACTATTGGAGCAGGGCCACGCCACCTTGGGAGATAGCTTGGATGGACATTCAACACGCCACTGAATCAGAATATTTTTAAATTAGAATAGGACCAGTAAATCCATAACACACATAAATGGGTATTAACCATTTATTATACTGAACTTTGTGAAAACATGTTTTAGCCTTTCAGATGTACTGAAAACCCTAACTGATATTTAAAATATCAATTCTAAGAGCAAATAAGCATGTTAAAGGCATATTTATACTGAGTAGCATAATGTTTGGCACAGAGGAACACACCAAGTATTTAGAAGGACCTCATGAACTTGTTTTAAAGCCATTTCTGTATTAGAGATGTACAATCCTGTTTAACCAGTTGAACTTTTGGCAGTTAACTAATTCATTCAGTGGTGGGGAACCTTTTTAGGATCAGGGTCCACTGACCCACAAAAAAGTCAGTCAGGGGCTTCACACAAGTAAAAAAAAATAAATATGCACATATACATGTCCAAATCATTGTAAGTTTCTCTCTACAGGGCTTAGGTTTATTTTTCCAGACTCAATAATAAAAGTAATGTACAGCGGTCTCTATTCTTTACCGCACCGAAGCAGAATAAAAACATAAATAAGGTACTTTGAATGCTCTTGGGCTTTTTTCCCTTATTGATTTTTTTTGCCTTTTTAGGATGTTGGGGGGGGGGGGTTGGTTTCTAAGACTCACTAGGTCTAACTATGTCTACTGTGAAAGGTGATTTCTGTATATCTGATCATATCACTTTGCACAGCAGCCTTACTCAGACCTTGGAAGCCTGGGGAGCCCTGGATGGGGAGGTGGGTACAGAGGCCAGGGGCCAAAAATGATGGCGGGGTGAGCGTGGGGTCAAAGTCCACCATCCCACAGCCGTGGAATAAAGCCTCACACTCAGAAAGCAGGGCCTGGGACAAAGCCCAAAGCTTTGTGGAATCTTTCACATGACACCCCAGGAGCTAAAGCCCAACCCCACCACTCCTGGGAAGCTCACTGACTGTCTTCTCCTTTACCTGGTCTCCAAAGAGGGTGGGGCTCTACCACCGGCCTGTGGGAAGGTGCTGCTGCTGTGCCACCCTTCTCCAAATCACTGCCCTGAAAACTGTGGCAAGAAAATGAGGCCCTGCTGGCCGCATCTGAGAAACACTGGCTTAGATGGGCTTTTCACGTGCTACTTTAACCACAATTACACAGACAACTTACAACTAGCTTGTGTGGGCAAGACAGGCAAGAGGACAAGAAATACAGACCATACCCCAAAACAGCCTGCTGTCCCATCATATCTGACTTACTATGGAAACTGAAGAATGAGATCCTCACTCAGAAGGCGTCCAAACGATGCCACCACCCCGACATCAAACTGGCCAGGGGGACCTGTATCTGGCCAGTCGTGGGTAGGCAGTTGAAACTGTTGGGCGCAGTTTTTCACAGGAAGGCCCCTTGGCGAAAGGGATGGCAGGGTCACCACCTCCAGCCGGTCTATGAGCGGCTCTTCCCTGGGCTCCCTGGGGCAGGGTGAGAAGAGCCAATGAGCGCCCAGCACAGCCAGGAAATGAAGGCAAAGCATCCCTATGTGCAACAGAAGGAGAAACAGACGGTCCTTTTTCGCTGCTGCCAAAGGCTAGGGATGTTAAATATCAGTTAATTGAACCGTTGATTAACCTCGTGAATTCTTATCGGTTCCTCGACTATTCTATAGTCCCCGGGGGCGGGGCCAGTGCGCGCCAGCCCCTCTCTTAAGGAGCCCCCTGCCACTCCACACTACTGCCTCTCTATGGCTACGTCTACACTGGCACCCTTTTCCGGAAATGCTTAAAACAGAACAGTTTTCCGTTATAAGTATTTCCGGAAAAAGCACATCTACATTGGCAGGATGCTTTTCCGGAAAAGCACTTTTTCTGGAAAAGCGTCCGTGCCAATGTAGACGCGCTTTTCCGCAAAAAAGCCCCGATCGTCATTTTCACGATCGGGGCTTTTTTTGCGGAAAACACAACTGTGCAGTCTACTCTGGCCCTTTTCCGGAACAGTTTTCCAGAAAAGGACTTTTACCCGAACGGGAGCAGCATAGGTTTTCCGGAAAAGCACGGATGATTTTACAGGAGATCGTCAGTGCTTTTCGGGAAATTCAAGGGGCCCGTGTAGACGGCTGGCAAGTTATTCCGGAAAAGCGGCTGCTTTCCCGGAATAAGTGGCCCAGTGTAGACACAGCCATAGTGACTTATGGAAGAATTTTGTTTCCCTAACCCCTGGTTCATATTCTGATGCCTTTAACACTAGTGTAAATCTAGATTAATTCGGAGTTATTCAGATTTTTATTGGTGTGAATCTCCTTCATTTAGCTTGGTTCCTCCTATTATTGTTACAAGTCTACAGGCTCAGCTACATATATAGTTAACATTTATTTTAGCATTGCATCCCAAAGCAGGGAGAAAATCATTTCTGAAAACTAATCTTACTTTCTTTTCTCTTTCACATATAAAGGGAAATACAAAATTAAAAAATTATACACATCTGAGGCAGGGTAGAACTCAAGTTCTTGAAGGGACTTTTTAAATAGCAGACTTTTTAAATTAGTAGTTGAGATTTTTTTTCACCTTGCTCAAATTAAGAAAAATATGCTTAGAGGACTCTATTTAATTAGAAACTAAGGCATCAGAAGTAATCATAACTAGCAGAAAAAACTATTTGTACAAAACCATTTGTGTTGATTCTTCACTGAATGATATGAATACTAAATTAGAGCAGTTTCCTCAGGAACAGAGAAGACTCATACGTGGATTTTAAAACACCATTTACCTTGAAGGTCCAAATAAGGAAGTGAATAATAAAGAGAATGGATTTTATTAAGTGCCAAATGAACTAAAGTTCCAAAACAAAAATCTAAAGACTTCTCATTCATAATAAGCAATAATTTGCAAGTAGCATAAACAGCAGAAACCACCTAAATAGCATCCCAGAAATCAGCAAGGTATCTGGGCCAAAACAATCTTTGAGTTTGACCTCAAGAAAAAAATAGAAATTAAGAGCTCCAATGAATTGGACTGAAGATGAACAGGCCCAGCCAGGGCAGAAGCCGGGAGAGCTGGAGCAGGAGGCTGTGCTAGACCTTGAGCTAAAACTCTGTGGCTGTGTCTACAAAGTGCGGCTTCTTGCCCCAGTAATATGCAAATGAGGCAAAGCAATATGCAAATGAGGCTAAGCGTGGAATATTGCTGAGCCTCATTTGCATACCTAATGAGCCACCATTTTTTTCAGAAGAGGCTCTTGCACAAGGAGCGTCTACACTACCCCTCCTTGCACAAGAAAAACCCTCTTGCGCAATGCCGTTACACCTATTACTTGAGGGGAAGAACGGCATTGCGCAAGAGGGGTTTTCTTGCGCAAGGAGAAGAGGCTCTTGCACAAGGAGCGTCTACACTACCCCTCCTTGCACAAGAAAAACCCTCTTGCGCAATGCCGTTACACCTATTACTTGAGGGGAAGAACGGCATTGCGCAAGAGGGTTTTTCTTGCGCAAGGAGGGGCAGTGTAGATGCTCCTCCTTGCGCAAGAGCCTCATCTGAAAAAAATGGTGGCTCATTAGGTATGCAAATGAGGCTCGGCAATATTTCACGCTTAGCCTCATTTGCATAGTGTAGACATAGCCTGTGTTTTGACTTATGATGGTGTTTTAGTAGATGGTTAGTGTTTCGTGGTTTCGTAGATGAAAAGCTTAAATTTTTTAATTCCAATGTCTGCTCATGGAATTATCATCTCACTCCTCTCTCTCCCCCTACCTTAATTTCCAACAACTGTGAAAATGTAAATCAATAACATTTTTTAAAAGTTTCAATATTCTATGTCAAAATAATTTAAAAAAATTGCTACGCTTATATAATATATGGTGCATTACTTAATTAGATATTACATGGACTTTTAATAGAATGTTATGAAGCCAATACAGTAATTCATAACTAATGCTTTCAGGAACCATAATGTCCCTGGACTTACTGCATTTTCAGTGTTGGATACTGAAAGACTTTGAGGAGGGCCCCAAATAACTTGCATACCCAAGATCTTATATGAGATCAGCCCTGTAAACGATTCTCCAAGATGTTTAATGTGTCACACCCTAATCGCAATGTTGTGGCTCTCCACATTTATTTCGTCCACTTTTTTAGAAGATGTTTTCAATCACTGTTTCCTGCTACTGTTTTTGTTCCTCCTATGGTGGAGCAACAAAATATCAACTTCTGTTCCTTTTCAGAATGACGACTCACAGAAATTTCAGATGCAGAAATGAAATTTTGTGAACCTAAGTGGATTTTTTTGCCACCTCTGAATTTGCTTTCTTTGATCATCTTCACAACTAGCAACACAAAATATAATTATGTTCCTTCATCTTGTAATATTTTAAACTCTCTATATTTACATGAAGTACAGTATGTAAACATTACGTGGAAAAATTCAGGCAAAATGAAGTATATTCTGAGCAAGAGAGACTGTCATGGCTCAGTTCCCCAACCTGGCATTTCAAGTGTAGAGCTGGGGGCCGGCTAGCAGAATAAACTCTGTAAGAACCTGTCTCTGTAACTCCCCAGAGACAAACTTGTTCGGTCTCAGTTTCCCTGAGACCCAAAAGGAAGATGATCAGTCGCTGCCACCACCCATGTGAGTTAAAAATATATAAAATAAACCCTTTTCCAGAGAAGAGATCACTTGGGAATCCCCTCCCTAAGGCAAAGCTCTCCTCCCTTTCCCCAACCTCTGTTTTGCTTGGAGTTGGGAAAACAAACAAAGGGAATCGGCAGAGAACAATTAATGTTTAAGGACACAACAATCAACCAATACCGGTTAATCAAAACAAAAAAAACACTTTTATTATCAAAACAAAACTACTGTTGCAAGCATAGTAAATGACTGGGTGTTAAAAGCCATGGAGTGAAATAGACTCAGGGGAGATCCCTGGGTTGTAATCCTTAGTTACAAAAGAGAAAAACAATTAACCAGCTCAAACATGATTTTCAAACCCCAAAACTAGGAAAACAATAAAACCTGATGGACTATCTAAACTTTTCCCTACTTATACATTTCAAGGAGTCCATTTCTGGGAGAACCCAACTCCCTTGTTATCTGGGGGGAAACTGCTCTGATCTCCCAACAAAAGAAGAGAGGGGGAAAAAACCCTATCTTTCTATTTGAAATTCCTATCTGCATTTCATTGGCTCAATGCCCGAAGCCTCCTCCTTCAAGTGCATTTCCAGAGTTGCTTAACCCTTTCCTCACTCTTCGGGTAAGTCCAACTCTCCTTAGCAGTTCCCATTCATGACACTGATGAGTAGCTGCTGCACTGGTAAAAATAATTCTTTTGGTGAAACATGCTCTGCTCTAGCAATGATTATAATTTTAAAAAATAAAGTAAAGTACAAAGTCCGAACAACCACTTAGGGTATGTCTACACTACCCTCCTAGTTCGAACTAGGAGGGTAGTGTAGACATACCCTTAAGGAACAGTGTGCTCAGGTACCAATACCATAAGAATCTTCTAAGAACATTCCTTTCTCCATGGGAAGAGAGTTTTATATGTAACTTCAACTAAGTTTAATTTGAACTATGTATGTATGCAAACTTCCTGCACTTCTAGATGACAATGTACTCTAGTTATTTTGATGCTAATTTGTTCAGCATAGTATCTAAAAATCTGGAAATATTATAAGTAGTTTAGTGTTGATGTGGATTATTTACTACAGTAAAACTCCGATGGTCCGGCACTCCTGATGGTCCGGCACCATCAGGAACCCGGAAGTGCTCCGGGCAGCCGGACCATTGGAGCTGCTCTGGCGCCAGCTGC